GATAATCTCGCTACTGATTATTGAACACCTTCCCTGGGTCAGAGGGATGAGAGGTTCTCAAAGGTCCCACAGCCTTGTTGAGAGTGGAGCCAGGTGAGGGCTGAGGGCAGTGTGGCTTGCCAGCCTATGATCCTGAGAGCCCCCCCATTTCACAGTGAATAGGCTGGCAGGTGTGGGCTGGCGGGTGGACTACACCCTGAGCTCCAGCCTGCTTCGGTCCGTGGAAGAGCCGATGGTGCACCTGAGGCTGGAGGTGGCAGCTGCCTCGGGTGCCCCAGCCCGGCCTGTGGCTATGTCTCTCTCAGCAGACAAGTTCCAGGTCCTCCTGGCAGGTGAGACTCTGCTGTACCTGGAGGGGGGAGGGGCCCTCCCAGATCCCACCTGACTGCCACCCACCTGCTCACCTCTTCCCTTTGCAGAACTGAAGCAGGCTCAGGCCCTGATGAGCTCCCTGGGCTGAGGAGAAGGGTGTTTGGGGCCCATGTTGAGTCGCTGCCCTCCGAACTCCTCTTCGTGGGTAGCCCCAGCTCCAGAACCCTGGAGGCCTGGCCTCCCAGATCTCTGGCTTGCTAGGTTCCCACTTGAGAATTCAGCATCAGGATTCTGAGGACTTTTCCAGCATTGCCTTCCCTCCCCCGTGAAAGTCACTTGTCAACGGTTTTCATGAGCAGGAAGAATAAACAGAAGTGTGAAGGAGTGTGTGCACAGGTTTCTTTTTGGGTTCAGATGAAAGGTTTTTGTGAGAGTAACCAAGTGACATACAGACTTCCCTGACCCATTACTCATTCTCCCTTTTCAACTACTGGTTGAGGCAGAACGAGGACCACAGTGACACAGCTTGTGTGGGGAGAGGAGAATTGGGGTTCTAACTCGCAGTCCTGTGCTGGCCTTGTCTGCAGGCGGGCAGTAAGCACGCGGCCCCAGTGCCAGATGCCCCGAGTAGAGAAAGGAGAGAGCCCTGGTCTTCCTGCCGTCTTCGTTTGATAGAGAGAGGAGGGTCCCTGCCTGAACTGCTCATTGGCAAGAGGAGCGGGGTTAGGGACTGAATGTTTGTGTCCACTCCCAAATTCCTGTGCGGAAGCCCTGACCCCTCAATGAGATGGTCTTAGGAGATGGGGCTTTGGATACTAATTACGTTTAGATGAGGTCATGAGAGTGGGACCTTCATGAAGGGGTTAGGTCCTTATAAGAAGAGAAAGACAGACTCTGTCCAGAACATGTACTGAGAAAAGGCCACATGAGAACAGCAAAGCAGGAGAAGGGCCTCACTAAGAACCAAATCTGCCAGCTCCTTGATCTTGGACTTCCCAGCCTCTGGAACTCTGAGAAATAAATGTCGTCGAAGCCACCCAGTCTCTGGTATTTTGGGACAGCACCCTGAACTGACTAAGACAAGTGGCCTAGAACATCTTGGGGTGCAGGGAAGCTACCAGACAATAACGAGTGCTGTCAGGAGGAGCCAGCTTGTCCCACTGGCCAAAGATGCGACAGTTTTAAGCATCAAAAAGTTAAGGACTGACTCGTCCTGACCTCTGCTTCTGGAAAAATGGAACAGATGCGCTTCCCCCATTCCTCTCACCAAGTACAGCTGAAAACCTTGGACATTACATATAAAACAAACAGGAGACTCTGAAAGGTGAAGAGAAGGCAGATTCGCTGAGATCCTGAGGAACTGAAGAACCCAGCAGAGCAGTCCTTAGGTTTCCTTTTTGCTCCCTGTGTCCTGGGCTGGGTGCTGGAGACTGGCAACCTGAGAAACACCAGCACACAGACTGGAAGCTCGACCAAAGCATGCTCTCTTGAGCCAGGGGATCAGGAAAGGGGCCATCCGGCAAGACAGGAGACTTACTGATGATAACTGCTCTCCTCCGGTCACACCACAAAGAAACTGCAGCCCCTCTTCCACCCCACCCCACCCCCGGCACATACATAAATATATATATGTGTGTATGTGTATATATATGTAGATATATATATATATTTTTAAGAGAGTGTGTGAGTAGGGGAGGGGGAAAGGGAGGGACAGAATCTTAAGCAGGCTCCACGCTCAGCACAGAGTCTGACATGGGGCTCGATCTCACGACCCTGAGATCATGACCTGGGTCGAAATGGAGACTCGGGTGTTTAACCAATTGAGCCCCCCAAGTGCTCCAAGAAGATTTAAATAAGATCCAGTGTCTCAAAACCCCAAATGTCCAGGATTCAAACTAACAAACCGAGAGTTAAGAAAATCTCAACTTGAATGAGAAAACACAACAGATGCCAACACTAAGATAACTCTGACTTGTATGGCAAGGATTTTAAAGTAGCCATCATAGGGCGCCTGGGTGGCTCAGTTGGTTAAGCGACTGCCTTCGGCTCAGGTCATGATCCTGGAGTCAAAAAAAAAAAAAAAAAGACTTGAGGCATTTTTATGATGGCTACTTTTTAAAAAAAATTTTTTAAAGATTTTATATATTTATTTGAGAGAGAGAGAATGAGAGACAGAGCATGAGAGGGGGGAGGGTCAGAGGGAGAAGCAGGCTCCTCGCCGAGCAGGGAGCCCGATGCGGGACTCGATCCCGGGACTGAAGGATCATGACCTGAGCCGAAGGCAGTCGCTTAACCAACTGAGCCACCCAGGCGCCCCAAAAATGCCTCAAGTCTTAACAAAGAAATAGAAGATACAAAGAATGAGATAGAAGTTTTATTTTTTTTCTATTTTTTAAAGATTTTATTTATTTTTTGACAGACACAGGGAACACAAGCAAGGGGAGTGGGAGAGGGAGAAGCAGGCTTTCCGCGGAGCAGGGAGCCCGATGTGGGGCTCAATCCCAGGACCCTGGGATCATGACCTGAGCCAAAGGCAAACGCTTAATGACTGAGCCACCCAGGTGCCCCGAGATAGAAGTTTTAGAACTGAAATCTGTAATAAAGTAAAAATGAACTGGACTGAACAACAGAAGAAAGAATCCATAAATTTGAAGATAATCATAGAAATTACCCAATCTGACCAACAGAAAATAGTTTGGAAAATAAACAGAAAACAAACAGAGCCTCGGAACCTGCAGGACTGTAACATAAGATCTAATATTCATGTCATCAGAGTCCAGGAAGTTGAGGAGAAAGAGGGTGGAACAGAAAAAACATGCAAAGAAATCATGGCTACAAATTTCCCCCGTATGGCCAAAGACCTAAGCCTGCAGAGTCAAGAAGCTGAATGAATCCCATTTGGGTTAAACCCAAAGAAATCCATGCCAAGGTACATCATGCAACAAACTTCTGAAAACTAAAGAAAAGAAAAAAATCTTGAAAGCAGCAAGAGCGAAATGACACTTTACCTTATGGGGGGAAAGCAAATGAGTGGATTTCTTGTCAGAAACCATAGAGGCCCAAAGGAAGAAGCACATTTTTCAGGTCTGAAAGAAAAACGTCAACTGAGAATTCTGTATTCAGCGAAAATTACCTCAAGAGTAAAGGGGGAACTCAAGATATTCTCAGATGAAGGATAACTAATATAGTTTGTCACCAGCTGACCTAACCTAAAAAAGGCGAAAGGAGGACCTCTGAACAGAAAGGAAATGATAAGGAATCTTGGAACGTCAGGGAGGAAGAACAATGGAAGGAGTGAAGTTTTGGATACAGTTAGACTTTCCTTGAGCATTTTAAATTATGTTCAACAGTTGGAGCAAAACATAAAACATTGTTGGATGTGGTTCTTAAAGTATGTAGAGGAAATATGTAAGGTTATTATAAATAGGAAAGAGTAAAGGGGGCAAGGTTTCTACACTTAGAATGTCAACACCAGCGGACTGTGACGAGTACGTGTGTAGAGTATCTAGAACAACTACCTCAAAGGCTGTGCAATGTACTACACTCAAAACCAAAACTGATAAGTCAAACTGGAGTTCTAAAAATTCAGGTAGCCCACAGGAGGGCAAGAAGAAAACAAAAGAGAAGTGGAATAAACAAAAATAAAGTGGCAGACAAAAGATCACAGAAAATTCTAAGTCTCTTCAAACGTTTCACATGAGCTTGATTTCCCAGGTTGCATTCCCTCTTCTGTGCTGTCACAGACTCCCACAGGTTGTAATATGGCATTGGCATTTTGTGTTTACTCATTTGCCTTTTACCCTTCTGAATCTCTTAAGGATGGGAATTGTGTTCCTGTGTGTGTAGTCCCAGTGCCTGATAGGTACTCCTTCAGCAGTGGGGGGTCAGAGAGGGGTGGCAATGGGTTTCCTGGTGTTGAATGTAAAAAAAAAATCCATGAATTGGTAATAGAAAAGAGTCTATAAAAGACAAAGTCCCTCCCCCCCAAAAAACCCCAAGTGACCCCTAATTTGTCATCATTGGAAGTTACTGCACCAAATTCTTAGTCTGAAAATTGATCATTAGAGGGAAGGAATTCAGAATTTATCCTATCTTTTTAACATTTCAGGACAACTAAATGGCCCCAAGTGACCCCTAATTTGTCACCATTGGAAGTTACTGCACCAAATTCTTAGTCTGAAAATTGATCATTAGAGGGAAAGAATTCAGAATTTATCCTATCTTTTTAACATTTCAGGACAACTAATGGCCTTTCTCTCATGGAATGAGAGAACACCACCACTTTGTAATTCCCAGTTAAATACTTGATTGAGGCAAGGATCATCGAGGATGATAGAGCCATTAGGTGAAAAGTTTACATGATGTGAAATGATACTTGCTAAAGAATCCCCTCACACAAACAGTCCAGCGCCTCCCAGCTGGTAACTGGATAAACACAGTGGCTCGCTACACAGTGGAATACTACTCAGCAATCAAAAGAAAACCTCTAATAAGCATAACAACATGGATGGATCTCAACGCATTATGCTAAGAAGCCAGACTCACAAGGCTTCAATACTGAAGGTTCCATTCATGAGATATTATGGAGAAGACCAGAAGGATAGGGACAGGAAGCAGATCAGTGCTTGCCAGCAGGGGAGGGGGGATGTGTTGACTACAGGGGGGTAGGCAAATTGCAGGGGTGGGCGGGAACGTATTCTTTGATTGTGGCCATAGTCAATATGAGTGTATATATTTGTCAAAACTCACACTCTAAAAAAACAAAACAAAACTCAGACTCTACAAATGGTGTATATTACCATATATAAATTATACTTTAAACAAAACAAAAAGAGACCAACCTACAAAGAAATCACTCCATCGATTACTTAGTGGTCACAAGGTGTGAAAGGTATCTTTACAAAGCAGTGACTGGCTGTCACAACCTCACCCATGATCAATTTCAGCCTCACTGATGTTGGACAACCAGATGTTAGGTGTCTCCTAATGTGATGCAACTTGGAGTACAGAGCACCCAGGAAAGAGAGAGATGTATCTAAGGAAACATTCAGACAAATCCAGAATGTGATGGGGCAGCTCAAAAAACAACTGGCTTGGACTCCAGAAAGGTCAGTATCATGAAAACCAAGAAAAAAAAAAAAAGGTGGGGTGAGTGGGAGATGGAGAGGGTGGTTCCATCTAAATAAAAAATGATTAAAGAGACCTATAACCCTTGATTGGACTCTGCTTTGAACAGACCAGCTATAAAAGACATTTTGGGGACAATTAGGGAAATTTGAATGTGGACTAGGTATTAGATGGTATTGATTTTATTACGTATGATAAATGTGGCTTTGTAGGATATTGCTTTTTAGAGATGTATGTTGAAGTATTAGGGATGCAATGTCGCAGTTCGCATAGTTCATTTCAGAATCCTTCCGCCCAAATGAGGAGGAAGCAGAAGTAATATGAAGGGGCAGATCCCGGCTATGGACCAGGCACCTGTGCCGACCACACTTAAGATGGAATGCAAGCTCCTTACAGAGGCCTCTTTAGACCAGACCTGACCATCTGAAGTGGGTTCTGCTTCTCCGCCCGTTTTTTTTGTTGCTTGGCTGCACTTGCCACCCGGCAGGTGGTGATGGTGCTTCTGTTTATGTGTTACGTCTGACTGTGCCTGGATTCTTAGGGGCCACCATCGGGTCCCCAGGGCCTGCGTTTATCAAGCACCTGCGCGCCCTGCGCACAGCTGCAGGCGCCTCGGCCTCGGGACCTTGCTGCTTGCTGTTTCCTGCTGGGAGGGCCGACCCTGTCGGGACTAGCCGGGTGACTTGCCCCCAGCCACGGAAACAGCTGCAATCCGGGACCTCAGACCTGACCCGATCCCCGCCGGCGCGGAGCAGCGGGAAGCCAGGTTCCTCCGCCACCTCCCGGCCAGGTGACAGCCCCAAAGCCTTTCCCACACTCGGGCCCCCCAGCCCATCCCGGCCAGCCTCTGCCACCTGCCCGAGAAACTACACTTCCCAGCAGGCGCCGGAGCGGCGACCTCAGCTCCCAGCGTGCTCTTGGGCGCGGCCCGACTCCCCCCCCCCCCCCCCCCCCCCCCCCCGCGTTAAGCCCTCAGTGGCTGCAGGCTGGCGGGGAGCCGCGCGGGGAGCAGGTTACCCGGGGGCGGCGGTGCTGCAGAGCTGAGGAGGGGATGGGGTTCGGGGACCTTGGGGAGCTGGGGTTAGCCGAGGACGGGCAGCGGGGCGGGGTGGTGAAGGGGAGGTGAGCACTAGGGTGCCCGCCCTGCGGAAGTTAGGAATCTGGACGTTCACCTTTTCCCGAAAAACGAAGCCTTTCGGGTGCCAGACCCCGGACGGCGCTGAGGAGGGGGACAGGGGTAAGGCAGTCTGCCCTCCCTGGCTAAATGCCCCTCTCTGCCCCACACAAAACCTGGCCTCGATCTGGGCAGGTCCCGGAAAAAGGAGGGTGGAAACTCCCCTCCCGCAGCCAGGCGTGGGGGGCGGCGGGCGGGATGGAGTTCGCTTCCCTCAGCCCCGACGCTGATGTGGGCGTTTCCTGTGCCCCCCCCCCCCGGACCTTGACCCGGAGCTCCGGAGCCCTTCCTGTGACCCCTGTCCTCCTCCCTCAGAGCCGTGGGCACCTGGTTCCAGCGCACCTGCCTTCGCTCCTCCTCGTCCTCGCTCTGGTCCCGAGCAGTGCGTCGTGGCAGGCCGGTCCCCGCCGCGGGCGGAGTCTCCAGCAGCGTTCTCCCAGTTCTCGTCCCCCTGGCGGGATCGGGTTCCCTCCCTCAGTTGTTGTGGAGCAGGTGCAGGCCGGGTCCCACGAAGCGGAGTCGTGAGCAAGCAGAGCTTGTACTCTGGGCTGGGAGTGGAGGTAGAGGCAGACAACAAACAAGATCATTTCCGATTCTGGGGGTGCCATGAAAAGAAGACTCGTTGGCGGGGGGATGCTGCCTCGAGAGGGTGGTCGGGGAGGGCCTCTCTAAAGTGTCCCAGACTGAAGGGACAGCAGGGGCAAAGACGTGGGGCTGGGAGGACGGTGCTTGGAGCCAGTGAGTGAGGGGGAGTGTGGGAGGAATGAGAGGACTGTGTGGGCCCAGGAAGGATCTGGACTTGATTCTAAAAGCAGTGGGGGCTCATGAAAGCCCCATGGAAGGTGTTAAATAAGGCAGAGTCTCGCTTCCCCAGCCTGAGCTCCATAGTGCCTGGGCTTTCTCAGCACTTTCAGGTGGGGACCAGGTCCTGTGACTAGGCCAGTTGACTTGTCCGCCGATCCCAGCTGGTAGTGGCCCCCTGTGGCCCTCAGGGTTCTCCTTGATAAAATGGGGGGATAATTTCTACCTCACAAGGTGCCACTTAGCCCCACCTGCTGTCATCCTCCCCCCACAGGGCCCGGCCACCTGCGCACAGAATGCCTGAGGGCCCCGAGCTGCATCTGGCCAGCCGCTTCGTGAACGAGGCGTGCAGGGGGTTGGTGTTTGGCGGGTGTGTGGAGAAGTCACCCGTCAGCCGCAACCCTGAGGTGCCCTTTGAGAGCAGTGCGTACTGCATCTCATCCTCGGCCCGTGGCAAGGAGCTGCGCCTGACCCTGAGCCCCCTGCCTGGGGCCGAGCCCCCACGGGGGCCACTGGCCCTGGTCTTCCGATTCGGCATGTCTGGCTCCTTCCAGCTGGCGTCCCGGGATGCGCTGCCAGCCCACGCCCACCTGCGCTTTTACACAGCTCCCCCCGGCCCCCCACTTGCCCTCTGCTTCGTGGACATCCGCCGCTTTGGCCACTGGGACCTCGGGGGCGAGTGGCAGCCCGGCCGTGGGCCTTGTGTCTTGCTGGAGTATGAGCAGTTCAGGTAGGCCCAGCACCAGGCGTGAGGAACAGAGTCTTGGGCTCTGGGCCTTGCTCTGTGAGTGCCTCGCTGGCCAGTGAGGGACAAATCTAGTCCCCTCTGGTCCTCAGTCCCTTTGTGTCGACCAGGACAGTGTCCTTTCCCGGGGACAGCTCTCTGAGCTAATGGATGTGGAACCCCGCAACTGATGTTGGGGGGGGCAAGAGGAGGATGGGCAGGCCTGCCCTGAGGACACATGGCCAGTTCGTGTCAGAGCTGGGGCTCAGCATCCCACTCTGCTTCTCGGAGGCTAAGGAGAAAGGTGAAGGGGCTTTAACAACCTGGTAAGAAAGGCGGCTGAGCAGGAAGGAACTGCCGGGGGACTGCCTCATGACACGGTTTCTGAATCGGGCTTGCGGTCTCCCACATTCTGCCTGCCCACTGGTCTGTGACCGTCCCATGGTCTCTGCCAGAGGGGTCACCACCCCACCTGGGATGTGATGCGTGTCACAGAGGATGGCACGCTGCCAGCCACTTCCCTTCCTCTAAAGGTGAAACATGAATGGGTTTCTATTTCGTGCCAAGCCCTCCGCCAGGTGTCGGGGGTACCGCAGTGAGCAAGATGGATGTGGTCCCTCTCCCACAGAGCTACAGTTCAGATAAGGCAGGGGGAACAAGGAACAAAGAGGATGAAGTTAAATAGACACATGCCTGAAGAAAAATCCAAGAAGTGGAGAATGACTCTTGGGCGGGGGTGGGGTGGGGGGAGGATTAGGAAAAGACCACTCTAGGTGACATTTGAGCCAAGGCCTGCCCGATGAAAAGGAGCCAGTCTTTGCAAAGCCCTAGAGGAAAAGCACTGTAAGGGACAGAATCACAGACTCAAGGCCTGCAGTGGACTTAGCCAGTCCTCCCTTCCTTGGGGCTGGCGTGCTTTCCGTTGGGCCTGAGACTTGGTTGTCCTGGGTGGGTCAGGGCGTCTTGAGCACTTGACTCCTGGCCTTCCCAGGCTCGACCCTGAGTGCACCCCAGGGAAGCGTCTGTCACCGTCCTGGAGTCCTCCCATCCAACTTTCCTGGGAAGTCATGGCACAAGTTCACTCTGCCACCTGGCTCTCAAGTTTCTCTCACCTGCGAATTTCGGCTGTTTTCTTGGTCTCACAGCTGGGGAGCTTGCAGGGGTCTGCTCCCCTTAGTGCTCTGACCACCTAGGCTAATGCTCCACACTTCCCTTTACCCCAAACTCTGTCTTCTGGCGCCTACTTCATATGTTCCTCGTGCCCGTTACTTGAGTCAGTCTCGCCAGGAACCTTTCCCACAAAGAAACAAGGTGCATTTCCTCTTTGTGGGGGTGAGGAGGGATCGGGGACCCCTGGAGGTGGGGTGGGGGCTGCTGGGACACTCGCTAGCCAGGACTTGTCACCACACACCTGCTACACAGAGCCAGCACCAGCTTCCTTGAAGACCGGGAGCTCCAGACTGCAGGCGCACCTGAGCTCCTGGGGTCACCTTGTTCTCCACCCAAGACCCTTGAACCTGAGGCTCTTTGGTGATAGACACACAACATCTACAGACTCATGTGTTTCCTGGAACACGTTTCTTTTTTGTTGTTGTTGTTAAGATTTGATTTATTTGACAGAGACACAGCGAGAGAGGGGACACAAGCAGGGGGAGTGGGAGAGGGAGATGCAGGCTTCCTGCCGAGCAGGGAGCCCGATGCGGGGCTCGATCCCAGGACCCCGGGACCGTGACCTGAGCCAAAGGCAGATGCTTAATGACTGAGCCACCCAGGTGCCCCGCAGGGTCCTGGGATCGAGCCCTGCTCGGCAGGAAGCCTGCATCTCCCTCTCCCACTCCCCCTGCTTGTGTCCCCTCTCTCGCTGTGTCTCTTTCTGTCAAATAAATCAAATCTTTATTTAAAAAAAGACTTTATTTATTTGAGAGTGAGCACAAGCAGTGGGAGGTGCAGCGGGAGAGGGAGAAGCAGGCTCCCCGCTGAGCAGGGAGCCCGACCACGCGGGGCTGGATCCCAGGACCCCACGATCATGACCCGAGCCGAAGGAAGACGCTTAACCGAGCCACGCAGGCGCCCCAGACACATTGCTTTTGATTTTTTTTTTTTCACTTTTCATAATGAATTCAAATCTCATACTGGTGTTTCCAATAAATAGGAAATTATTTCCAATAAATAGGAAAATGGAGGGCACCAGCTCAGCAGGGAGTCTGCTTCTTCCTCTGCCTCTCTGCCTCTCTCTCAAATGAATAAACAAAATCTTTAAAAAAGGAAAATGGAGGTTCCCGCTGCCAAAATAGCACTGAGGCTGGGAAAGCGGTAACTGGGACTCCCATGTTCCTTCCCCTTGCACCCAGGTACCCTTAGCCCCTCTCTATCCTGTGGCAAGGCCTCAGGGATGGGGGCAGAGATGGGGTCTCATGTGCCTGGGCTGGCTGTGTTCCTCCAGGGAGAACGTGTTACGAAACCTAGCGGACAAGGTCTTTGACCAGCCCATCTGCGAGGCCCTCTTGGACCAGAGGTTCTTCAATGGCATTGGCAACTATCTTCGGGCAGAGATCCTGTACCGGTCAGCAGGATGGCCATGAGGACTAGGGAGGGCTGGGTGCACCCACATTCTCCACTGCTTAGCATGGCTCCCTCTCTCCACCCCACTGCAGGCTGAGGATACCCCCCTTCGAGAAGGCCCGCGAGGTTCTGGAGGCGCTGCAGCAGCGCAGGCCGGTGAGGGTGCGGGGAGGAAAGCGGACAGACCCATCAGAGCAGGCCAGCAAGTGTATAGGCTGGGTTAGGTCTCCAGCTTTGGGCCCATTTCCCTTTCTCTGCAGTGTCAGGGGTCAGGGGCAGATGGATGGTCTCTGAGTCCTGCCAAGCTCCTGGGGTTCTGCTCCCCATTGCTCAGCTGCCTTCTGAGTGGCCCTGCCTCATGCTGACAGCCAGTTCCTGCCTCTGCCCCTTCTCCAGAGCCCGGAGCTGACTCTGAGCCAGAAGATCAGGGCTAAGCTGCAGAACCCAGACCTGCTGGAACTGTGTCACTCCGTGCCCAAGGAAGTGGTCCAGCTGGGTGAGGCCTGGGAGCCAAAGATGGCTCTATTTCTGCTTCAGTAAACTGTGTAACCCCAGGGGAGTTCCTGCCCTACCTGGGTATGGATGTCTGTAGATCTAGTTGTTGCTACAAGCAACATGCCTCCTCACTTGTTAGGTATGTATGTCCTCTGAGCAGCCCAGAAGGCAGGCCGGACAAGGATTATTCACCCCACCCCAGGGTGGGAAAGCTATGGCCCAGAGTGGGGAAGCCACCAGCCTGAGGGCACACAGCTGGAGGATGGAGAGCCTCGGCCCCCTGACTCAGTCCGCCAGCTAGTAGCTGAGGTCTGGGCCAGGCCGACCAGGCTCCCCCTACTCCCGGCCTGAGTCTGCCCTGACTTCGGCCTGGTTCCTCTGTCCCACAGGGGGCAAAGGTTACGGGCCAGAGAGCGGGGAGGACGACTTTGCCGCCTTTCGAGCATGGCTTCAGTGTTATGGCATGCCCGGCATGAGCTCCCTGCGGGACCGGCGTGGCCGGACCATCTGGTTCCAGGTTTGGGCCCTAATCTCACATAGGCAAATGGAGATCCCGAGGAAGCTAGTGGGGTGGACAGACCTGGGGTCACAGCAGGGCAGGAGCTGGGGTCTCCCAGGAGCAGATGTCCAGGGCCTGCCGTTGCCCCCAGGGGTCACACTGTTCCCCATGCTTTACCCCTCCTCTCCTCAGCCCCAGGGTCCCAGCCAGTAGAGTGGCCCAAGGCGGGTGGCCTCCTTGATGTGGGCTCCCACCTGCGGAGGACGGGGCAGTCAGAGGGGCTTCTTAGGGGAGTAGCTCCACTGATTTGGAAGGATAGCTGTGAGCTCTGCCTCTCCAAGGAAGACTCCCCCTGCCCCAGCCAGGTTGATTCCTGAATTCTCCTCATTCTATTTTAGGGGGATCCTGGACCCCTGGCACCCAAAGGTAAGCTACTCTTAATGTAATAAGCTGGGAGAGCAGGAAGGACTAGTTGCTTGCAAGAGTTACATCACCCTTCTCCATCCCAGTCCCCACTCCAACCCTGGGAGTCACCCCAGAGCAGGAGTCTGCAGAAAGGGGGCTGAGGGCATAGGACTCTCCCGCCCCAGTGTCAGTGTCCTGCAGGAGGCAAGTCCCACAAGAAGAAATCCAAGGGAGCACAGCAGGGGCCTGAGCACAGAACGGAGGTATGGCTCCTCCCTGCATTCTCCCCTGCCCCGCCAGCCAGCCGCACCTCCCAGGTGCCCTCCCTCGACAATGGGGGGCAACGGTGGGTCCTCACCAACCTCTGAACTGCTCACGGAGCCCCTTGGGGACCTGTATCTCCTCAGGACCCTCTCCTTCCAAGCACGGCCCCTCCCAGGACACGTGGGGCACACAGAGGTCCTCCTGAGCAAAGTAGAGTAGAGCAGCCTGAGGGCACCAGCCTCCAGCAGGACCCAGAGGCCCCCCGAGTTCCTGAGAAGCTCAGGTGCGCCTTGCTCAGCATGCTGCTCTGGGGAGAGAAGGCTCTGCAGGGGGAAGGGATGGCAGCGCAGGCGGGAGGACTGTGGACGGAGGGGTTGGGCAGGCCGCTGGGGCAGCCCTCAGCCTGGGGTCTGAGCTGCCGCCTCACCTGCCCTCCTCCCAGGCCACCGCAGACCCCGAAGGATCAAAGCTGACACCCCATCCTTGGAGAATGAGGGGACGGCAGCCTCCTAGCCTGAGGGCGTCCTTGCTCGCGTCCACCGGCTTTCTCTGCTGAGCCCATCGGGGCCTGGGCGGCTCACCAGAAGCAGGCTGGAGCTGCTGGGGGCCAGGTGCCCCTGGCCCTGTGGCTGTTCCCTGCACACCTCTGATGTTTTTAATTGTACCCCACCTTCCCCCTTTTTAAGCCCACATGAAAAATGCTGTCATTTTTAATAAACTAATACACTTGAATTTCTTGGCACTTCTTGGGCTGGCTGCAGAAGGTCTGGGAAGGCCAACCTGGGAAAACCTGCTGCCTGACCTTGGAGACTGGAGAGCCACCTGGGCAAGGCTGACTGAGCCCCATCGCAGTCCTCCAGGCCCTGGCTCTCAGAGGATGGCCTGCCTCTGCAAGTACAGCCTCTCAGAGGTGGTGTAGAGACCCCCGCCCGGGCAGCGGGGGAGGGGGGGAGGGGGGTGGGGGCCGCCCACAGCTCCTCCAGTCCAGAATTCCCAGCACTGCCGCTGGCCAGTGCTCCTCTCCTAGTGGGCAGCCAGCCGGAATCCACCCTCTTGGCTTCCTCCCCTCCCGGTCTCTTTGCCAGCTTGTGGTCACTGATATCCCACATCTCGGGGCGGGGGCGGGGGGGGGGGGGGTGGCGGGGAGGTGCTGCAACCCAGACCCTGCACACACCGGTCAGTTCGGATCTTGCCCCTGCCCCCAAACGCCTGGGGAAAAGCCTTCCTCCCTGAGGACAGGCCCCGAGGGGAGTGAGCAGGGACTACTGCTAGCAGGGTTCCTGAGTCAAGGGTTTATTGTTCAAGAGATGACTGATCCTTGCTTCAGGCTGGGGAGGCAGAAGTGAGGAGCCCCCAAAGCCTTCCACACGTAAAACCCCACCGTCAGGGGCTCAGTTTGGAGGGGGCTGCAGCAGCAGCAACAAGGACCGCACTTGGAAGGGAGAAAAAGTGAGCTTCAGGCGGGAGTCCCGAAGGGGCAGGTGGCCGGCAGGGTCGCGCTGCTCCAGGAGGTCACAGCTGGAGAACAGGAGTGGGGGTCATGAGGGCCCCGCGAGGGCAGGACGCCCACCCCTACCCCGCGCCCCCACTCACAGGACGGCCTCCTGAACCGGCAGCGACGTGTGCAGCCAGCAGTCGACGTGGCTGCCGTGGGCCTCGTACAGCCTGAGGACCAGCGTGCGGCCCTGCGGGCTAGTCTCCGCCTGCGGAGAGAGGCGGGGTGGGGGTGGGGGGTGGGCGGGGCTGGGCGGACCCAGATGGGACCCCGCCCCTGCCGCCCCGCCCCCGCCCTGCCGCCCCGCCCCTGCCGCCCCGCCCCGTGCCTGCTTGACAGTCTCCAGCACGACCGCGGGCGAGGACACGGAGAAGGCGCTCCAGGAGGCGGCGGGCGCCGGGCCCGGGGCAGGCAGTGCCAACAGGGGGAAGTTGAGGCTGTAGGCAGCGCGGATAACGCCAGCGTCCTGGAAGGAGCCTGGAAATGCGGGGTGGGGGGGGGCCGTGGGCGTGCTGGCGTTTTGCCCACGGGCCGCTGGGAGAAACTGAGGCTCAGAGCAGGGCAGAGAGGCGGTCTGGGCCGCAGCACCCACCTTTGTGCGGCATCAGCGCGTAGGTGAACTCGTGGCGTCCCATGTCGGCAGTGGCGTCGGGGGCCTTTGGTGCCCGCAAGCTGGGGTGGGGAGGGTGGGGATGGGCCGGGCTGGAACTGCGGAGGCTCCGGCCCCGGAGTACCTGCGCCCCCATGCCAGCCCCCCCTCCCCCGGGGCCTGGCGGGCCCTCCACTCACAGCGAGAGGCTGAGGACGTTGCCTCGGACCGACGCGCCGTACTTGCAGTCGTTGAGCAGAGCCAGCCCAAAGCCGTGCTCTGACAGGTCCATCCAGCGGTGGGCCCACACCTGGGGGGCAGATCCCAGAGCCGCTTGGTGGCCCCGCCCCCTCCCTGGGCTCCCAAGCTCCCGTCGCCACAGTGAGGGCCAGCTCTGGGACTGCAGATGGAGCTCCAGCTCTCACCACAGGAGGCGCTGGGCACACCATCCAACCCGTCTAGGCCTCAGTTCCTCATCTGTGAAATGGGGATAATAGAATTCACCCCCACCAAATGGGCATGAGTGTCAAAACCCAAAGACAGCATTTAGCACAAGGCCTAGCACACAGGAGCCAGCAAATACTGATCAGCATCCTCCTCCTGACCCCACCCCACACCAGTCTCTTCCCAGCCAGGCAGGATCCAAACCCCACCCCACCCCATGTCAGACCTCAAATCGAGCCCAGTCCCAAGAGGTGTTGTGGTGTGTGGGCCGCTGCAGATGCCCGAACTGGACCTCATAGGTGGCCTGGGGGCTCCGCACGCGGGCGGGGAACTCCACCTTCAGGAACTTGTGGGCCTCATGCCAGTGCACCTGAGGTGGAAGGACAGACACACACAGGCCTGGGCCGCTCCCTCCTCCCCAGCCACACCCGGGGATAGATGCCCACCACCCTGCTTTCTGCTACCTCGGTGTGGAAGCGGACATAGGGGCAGCCAACGTCCAGCACGACCTCCTGGCTGAGCCGACTGTTGGGACTGATCTGCAGCAGGAACCAGGCGCTGCCCCGCAGGCCACCCTCAGTGCCCACTGCCAAGGTCCCTGCCTGGCCCAGCACTGGCTTCCTGTGGGATCGGGTGGTGGAGCTGAGCCAGGGCAAGCTGATGGAGGGGGCCCACCACTACCCCGGTCCTGCCCACACCAAACCGTGTCTCTAAATGGTAGTCCATGACGTCCCATGCGTCCCAGTACAGAGGGACATCATCGAACAGCACAAACTGGTTCCCCACGGTGCCCTCAGCAATGGCCTCCCTGGAAGGATGCAGAGATTGGTGCTTTAGAACTTTATGACCCTGAGTTGGGGTGGGGGCAGGGAGAGTAGGCCCAGGGGACAAGGGGACTCCTTCCTAGCCCAGCCTGCCCTGCCCTGTGTGGGTCCAGAGCCACAGGTGGGCTGCCATGGGCAGTACTGGGGCCAGGGGACAGAGGGAAGGGGGTCTGGGATCCACCTGCCAGGTACTGGAAGAGGGCAATGAGGAGTTGGCACCTGCCAGAGGCAACCAGCACCAGGGACGTCAGGCAGCCGGTTGGGTCCAGCCTCACCCGGATGATGCCGTTGTCCAGAGTCACAGAACCATCGGTCTTGACGGGAGGGGTCCTTGAAGCTGAGTCTGTGGGGACTTCCCACCACCAACAGCACCCCCAGCCCAGCCCCACCTCACCACTTGCTCCAGCTCGGGAGCTCAGAATCCCCACGTTGTCAGGGATGGCCCAGGAGGGGCCCCACCCAGCAGCACGTGCCCACACTCACCTCCTGCACCACGAACACAGGTTGCTGGGTCTGCAGGGGCTGCAGTGAGGTGGGGGCAGCAGCAGGAGCATAGCCCATGCTGGGTACTGTCACCAGGGCTGGGGATGAAGCCTGGGCATCAGTGCAGCCTCCCTGACCCTCCAAGAGCCTTGCTTGAGGGGTGGGTGGATCCTCCTCCTCCTCCCCTCCAGCCTGGGGCGTCCCAGGGCAGTGAGCCCCGAGGCAGTGTCCCCACCCCGGGTCTGGCCTCGGTCCCTCCTACTGCAGCAGCAGCCTTTCCCCCCAGCTCCTACCTAGGCTATGGGCCCCACCAGGCCTGGGCAGGGCCAACACTTCAGTGCGCTTCCAAGGCAGTGTGTTGACGATGAGGAGGCCCTCGGGCCCCGGCTCCCCGGCGCACAGGGCTGCAGCTGCGGCACTGAGCAGCGTGTTGCCGTGCAAACGGATATCTGCGGGGAGACCGGCTGCTCATGGGTGGGCGGTGGGTTTGGGCTGGGCCCCGAGTATCCCACAGGACACACTCTGGGCTCCGCCCCAGGCGTCGGCGACAGCGGCACACAGGTCATCAACCTCACCTTCGAAGTGGCACATGGCCTCCTCTGCTACCAGCTGGATGCAGCTTCCGGTCACCACGTCATGGAACTGGTTCAGGAGCAGGAGCCTGCGGGAGCCAAGGGTGGGGATGGGGAAGCTGTCCGAGGTGAGCTCGGGGCGGGTTTGGGGTGGGGGGGTGCGGGCAGAAGCCGGCCTGACCTCCAGAGGTGCTGCAGCTGGGCTGCCGGGTACAGGAACTGGGCGCTGCGGGCCACGGCCAGGCTGCTGAGCAGCTCCACGTCGTGCAGGATCCGCTCACACTCCCGGTTCCCCTTCTTGATCTGAGCAGGGTTGGGGGGTTGGTGGGATCAGTCCCAGGCCACCTTCCAAAGCCCTACCATGCTCAGAACCCCTGAGGCTCCCCAGGGCCTCCCAGATAAAGCCTCTGGTGGCTGACCTGCTCCCCCGTCAGCCCGTGGCCCGCCTTCTTAGGGGACACTCAGCCCTGCCTCCTCCAGGCCCCCAGGCCACCTGGCTCTGGTACTTCTCTCCTCCTGGTGCCGCCCCGGAACACAAGCCTCTCCCCCCCAGGTCTGGACTGAACTCTGGCCCCTGCAGAGCCAGGGCACACGCTCCCTGCTGGGCTCAGGGAGCAGCTCCTGACCTGGGCATGCGTGGTGTAGGTGCCGTTGTGTAGCTCCAGGAAGAGCTCCCCAACCCACGTGCACAGCTGCTCTGAGCCACTCTCCAGTGCGGAGAAGAGTCGCCCCGGAGAAGACAGCTGCACCCTGAGGGAGACCACAGCCTGGGTCGCCCAGCCTTGGGGGTACCGTGTGGCCCACCCTTCCTCCATGCCAGAGTGGACGAGAGATCCAGCCCCGACAGAAAGGAGCACCCCGCCCCCCCTCCAGAATGCTCCCTGTCCACGCAAAGCCAGTTCCGGACACACTGGGAGAGTTCTGTCTCCAGTAGATTTAAGCCCCTTCCCACAGGCAGCTTTCCCCCCCGCCCCACCCCCAGGGTGGAAGCTGGGAAGAGCCGATGGTGCCGGACTGGAGTGGGGCAAGGTCTGGCGGGAGAGCTGGACCGAATGTTTGAGCGGAGAGCAGGGCTGCAGGCCAGGGCACAGTGAGGTCCGAGGGCTGCTGGAGGGCCAGGGCGGACCTGGGCAGCCCGTCCGTATCGTGCAGCCGCTTCAGGCGGTCCACCATGGTCTGGGTGGGGCCCCCGCCCCCGTCCCCAAAGCCGAAGAGGAAGGCACTGTGGTTGCTCCGCCCCTTATCCCGGTTTTTGACCACGGTCTTCAGCACCTGGACAGGCGGGGCAGGGCAACCCGGGTCAGCCTAGGACAGGACACCAAGCCCTCTCCAGCGTGCTCCCCCCCCGCCCCACCTCAGCCACCGGTGCCCCCTCACCTCCTCCACACTGCCCTGCATCCCATATGAGTCGCCAGGTGGGAAGTGGGCCAGCACACG